AACGAACTCGCCTTATCTCGCTTCGCCTCAATCCGAGCCGCTAATCATGACACCACCTCCCATACCATAGAGCACAGTCGTATTGGAAGAAGAAAATGCCATTTACAATTATTATTATTTTTTTTTTTTTTTTAGTTTGAGAATATCCTTATGTGACTGTGGAAGAATGTTTTGCGCCTAAACAGTAAATGGCCAAACTGGCATGGTGGCTTTGCTGACATATTCCGTTCATTGAGACTTTTGTTTCAGATTTTGGAAAAATCAAGGGAAGCAACTCTTTTGCATTCAACCATGAGCATTTTTATACAGTGTAACCCGGATATAAGAGAGTTGTCGGGACCGGAGAAGAAGTCTCTTATATCCGTGTTTCTCTTATGTCCGAGTTTGGTCTAATTTATATACATTAACACAGGCTCTAATTTGGGACCAGAGAAAATCTCTCTTATATCCGGGTTTCTCTTATATCCGGGTCTCTTATATCCGGGTTACACTGTACTTTCTAAAACTCTCTTGCAATGTGCGCCGAATGAAGCAAAGGTTCTACTACACCGTTCTCTGTGATAAACATGGCAGTAATTTTTACGGTGAGGTATGGCTACAGCACATTCCGGTGTGAACCAGACCTGGCTATTCGGTTTTAAGTTTTCGGTATTTTTATGGTAGCTAAAACTTACCATACCAGAAAGGATCTTATTTTGACATTGAGGTTTACCCTGTACAAGGAACGGGGTCCATTCCCTGTAGAGGGTTACATTAAGTAACAGTTTATACGGATATGAGGGGAAGATAACGGTTAACCCTAGACATGAAGAGTTTAAGATTGTAATGAAGGGGAAACATCCTCTTGAGATTCGGTTTCACAGAGCAGTGGTTCGCGGGTAGAAGCTGTTTGAGTCGAAATTACTTCCCACCGACAGAATGAGGTAATGTGAATGGTTTGCTATAATGAAAGTCGGATAACAGGTCCTAGCCGTGAAGATTATGTAGTTCGTCCGAGCACTTATCATGGATATAGCGATAGATGTCAAGCAAAAATGTAAAAAATAATGTAATCTGTTTAAACGCTGACCAGAGTTCGACTGTGTCTGCGGGATGAAGTTTCCGCTCTTCTGAACGTTAAATATTTCCTCATGACTGGAAAAGGAGAACTGATTGCGTAAGCACTGAATCTACATGTGTCAAGTGAAAGACAAGATCTTACGGATCTTGTCAAGAGTAGCGTAACCAACATTATTCCCATGTAAAGAATAGTGAACCCTTGACAAAATATGTTTTATTTTTTAAAAGCAATGTTGGAAATATAAATAAATCGTTTACTGATAAATGAACAATTAAAATAACATATTATTAATTTTCCATGAGGAAAAAAAAAAAAAAAAAAAAAAAAACAATACAAACCATCACGGCAAGAACACGCCATGCCACTTACATATTAGCAAACAACCCACATTCCCTTTGTATTCCATTGGTGAGAAGTTCCACACGGACAGTTTCTTTCCGCGAACTACTGCACTGTGCAACAGACTCCCAACAGGATGTTTCCCAAAACACTACAATCTTTAACCGTTATATTCCTATACACACAAATGACCTCCGAACATAACCCTTGACCTCGAGTGACTCTGGGCCATGTAAAGTGTGAAACTCACTGTAAAAAAATAACAAAACAAAAAGAAAACAGTTATAATAACTTAGTTATTGAAAGGTTATTGTATGGTGATTGCATTAGAGAACCCTAATAACCTGTTAACCGTGTTTCGTTTTGATTCAGCAAAAAAAAAAACGGGTCTTTTTCTTATTGCTACATTTCGTTTGTACCGTGAACAGTCTTTCACGCAAAACAGTTCAGAGCTTCATTGCACGTTGTCTAATTCCGAAATTTATTGCATGATTCATATTTTAATTCCCGTCGAATAAGTGATTTGTTCTTCATCCAGTCAAACTGGTCTGTCCTCCCCAAGTAATGACTTCACAAATTCCGTGAATGTAGATCTGTCCATCTTGAGGGTTCCTGAATGAATAAATTAAAACTGGTATAAGTGGGGGGTGGTCCTCAACTTCCGTCGGAGATCCGTTCCTACTGCGCAGCGTAACCTAACTTTCTCACTTAGGTCGAAATTCAACTACGTAAGCACCGACGATTCTGCCTCACGTTTGGGGGCCATAATGAAGGGCAAAAAGTCCCTGCGCACCGCAAAATAACGACACAAACGGGAGATATGCAGCACAATCCAATATGGCGTACAGCCGGTGAAGAAACAACGCCGTCTTCCCCATATAGCGCCGCATCACGAAGATTATATTATGGGAGATGGCGCCGTAACCACCAAACGCCCTACGCCAGGTCGTTCATAATCCGAGGACCTTATATATATATATATATATATATATATATATATATATATATATATATATATATATTTTGGTTGGATAGATGTGAGTTTGTGACCCTGGGTTTCACGCTTTAGCGATCGTCAGACAAACCCTATATATATATATATATATATATATATATATATATATATATATATATATATATATATATATATCCGAGATCCTTTACGGTGCGACGTAACCTGATTTTCAACGTAGGTCGGAACTCATCTACATAAGCACCCGCGAGTCTGCCTTACGCTTGGGAGCCATAATGGAGGGAACCCCTCCACCAATAAAAAAAACAAAAAAAACACAAACGAGAGATAGCGAATGTAGCACAATCCAAAATGGCGTACAGCCGGTGAAGAAACAACGCCTTTTCCCTCACATAGCGCCGCATCACTAAGATTATATTATGGGAGATGGCGTCGTAACCACGAAACTTCGCACGCCGGGTCCGACGTAACCCGAGGATCTTCTGTATATGAAAAAAACAATTAACTCTTAAAGTTATTTGTACCAAAATGTTTATGTCTCGAACAGAGAATACGATTCTCATGTAAAGAATAACGAATCCAATCCCCTTCTTGCAAAGAATTGCAAACTCTGCCGGGAGTGGGTTCGAGAATCTTAACAATATCCGATTTTTCTAACATTATCTAAATTATGGAGTTAGGAAATTTGGTGCCAACCGAAATATCTTCTTAGACCATCCTTATTCATTTGCATATAATGCGTTATCTATTCTCGACATTCTCTACATAAAGATCCCTTTGCTATTTTTTCTATTTACATTTGCTTTGGTTCAACAATTCCGGGGTATTATTTTCTACTTAATGAAAATCTTCGTAGCTTTCGATAATTACCCGTTTATTTTCCAAATATCCTTAGAAAGAAAATCGCCTCGTTGTTGACCACACCGGCACCCGTTTCACTCTTCGCGGGAGTGTCGGGGGTTTAGTAGCCATTGACCCTTCAACTTTGACCTCTGACTCGTTGATCATTTTGACCTTTACGGCATCTCTGCTGTGCGCATCCGATTCTTTTTTTTCTCTTTTTCTTTTTTTTTTTTTAATGCCGTTGATCCTGGTGACATTTAAAAGTTCAACGCTCGTCTTTTGTCGCTGACGAATGACATTTGACCCCGAGAACCTTGTTAAAATATTTGTCGAATCACTTCAAACGTCGGATGATACCCAATCATGTGAGATCATTTACAATGCTCTGCTTGCCGAGGAGAGTAATATGTTATCAAATCAATTACTGTATATCCACTCTCTTAAAATGTATATCTATCTTTCTCTTTTTTTTCTTTTTTTGCTTACTTTCATTCTTTCATTTATTCTTTCTTTCCTTTTTTTCTGTTTCCATTTCTTTCTTTCTTTCTTTTTTTTCTTTCTTTCTTTCTTTCTTTCTTTCTTTCTTTCTTCTGTTTCCATTTCTTTCTCGGTTTCTTTCATACTTTCTTCTTTCGTCTTTTCTTTCTTTCATCTTTTGTTTCTTTGTTTCTTTCTTTGTTTCTCTCATTCTTTCTTTCTTTTTTCTTTCTTCTGTGTCCATTTCTTTCTTTCTTTATTTATTTATTTCATAGTCTGTCAGTATCTCTCTCTCTCTCTATCTCTATCTATCTATCTATCTATCTATCTATCTATCTATCTATCTATCTATCTCCGTTTGTTACTATATATGCATCTCAGTGTGTTTTAACACACACACACACTCACATACACACACAGACCAACACCCAAAATCTGAAATCCTCCTAAGGCAAATAGATAGACATTACTTTGTATGTATGTATACACACACACACACACACACACACACACACACACACACATATATATATATATATATATATATATATATAAATAAATAAATAAAAGGATGGAATGGTGTAGTAGATAGCGGCTCGGATTGAGGAATCGGAGAGTCGAGTTCGAATTCCAGTCGAATCCCTTACGTTCTAATGCCCTTGGGAAAGGTATTAATCCTCTTCTTCTCCAGCCAGCTATGGGTAAATAGGACAGACTGGGTTCTATAGCCTTGGATGGCAACCGGTCTAGGAGAAGGACAACTCTGAATTCAAATCCTGCAGAGGCTCGCTTGGGTATTCGGCCCTTCAATGTCTGGTTAGTTCTGCACAAAGCCTTCACTAATAGGGACCGAGCTGCTTGGCCCTTATGCGTCGAGTACGTGTGTTCATTTATCACTTTCGCATTCATAGCTGTTATCTCGCTAGATATTTTCAATGCAATCTAATTTCTGGACATAAGGGATCCCCGCCTTCCACAGGTTCCTTTTTCTTATTATCTTCGAACCTTGGAAAAATATAGCAGAATAGCTTCCCGTTACATTCTTCACGATTTTGAATTCAGAGGTTTACTATTCCTACACTGCTTGCTTCTGTTAGCCATAACGTTTACTCTTCACTACTAGATAATCTCTATCCGTACGCATAATAGATGGATTTATGCCTTTCCCTATAGCAGCAGTGTGAAAGTGAATGCAGCAAACGAGATCCGAATAAGATCTCGGGCTTCAGATTTCTTGTTTTTCTCTTCGCACAGATGATAAACTTGGGAACATATAATTGTTTGCCAGTAGTAGAACGATCGATATTATCAAGTGAGATAGAGAGAAAATGAAAGTAAAAAATAAGGCACAGTTGAGAGAAAAAGAGAAAATGCTACTCTCCCCCCCCCAGATAAAAATAAAAATAAAGAGAACGAAAAATATGTACACGTTGAAGGAAAATAAAAACTACAAAGGAAGAAAAAAAAGGAAGAAATGGAGACAAAAGAAAAAGAATGAAAGGAAAAAAGAAAGGAAACGAAAAAGAATGCACACGTTGAAGAAAAATAGAAAATAGAAAAAAAGAAAGAAAGAAAGAAAGAAAACGAAAAAGAATATACACGGTAAACAAAATAGAAAATAGAAAGAAAGAAATGGAAACAGAACAAAGAAAGAAAGAAAGAAAGAAAGAAAGAAAGAAAGAAAGAAAGAAAGAAAGAAAGAAAGAAAGAAAGAAACGAAACGAAACGAAACGAAACGAAACGAAAAATAATATGCAGATGGGAGAAAATAGGAAATAGGAAAAAAGAAAAATAATGTTCACGTAGAAAAAAAAAAGAAAAAATAGAAAGAAAGAAAGAAAGAAAGAAAGAGAGAGAGAAAAAAACGAAACGAAAAGAAATGCATTGGTGGAAGAAAAAAACAGGAAGGAAGGAAGGAAGGAAGGAAGGAAGGAAGGAAGGAAGGAAGGAAGGAAGGAAGGGGGAGGAGGAAGGAAGGAAGGAGGGGAAGGAAGGAAGGAAGGTAGGGGGGGGGGAAGGAAGGAAGGAAGATAGCGTAGCAAAAATCAATGTAGAGTGAAAAAAAAAGCCGAGATAATAGAATGAAAGAAAATATTTACCCCTATTATTTGTTTTAGTAACATTCATGTATAAATAATCAATTAGATCGCAAAATCCTTGTAAAATCCACAATATTCTTCCATCAGGAAAGTTCAATATAACTTTAACTTTTGTTAAATATAAACTGGTTCCTAAGCTTTTTATTTCTTTCAGGTTCGTTCATCCAACCGAAAGTAGTTCTACTATTCCACGTCCAAAATGGACCGGGCAAATGAAATCAGATTTACAACGAACGAGCAATGTATTGTCGATTTCTGTCTTGTCCAGTAGAGAACTGCCGACTAAATGCAGTTCGCTATTTGCAGTTTGGTGCGCAAACTTTACGGATCAAAGCTTGTTTCCATTCTAATGCGCAGCATTTTGGCCGGGATTTTTGAACTTCCATAGAGATGACCTTAATCCATTCACTTTCATTCTCCGGCCTTCTTTGCCTTCGATTTTCTCTCCTTTCCTTATTATTTCATAATATCTCATTCTTCTTTATTCGAACGTGAATCATTTTCTTGTTTTCCTCTCTTTTTCTCGATTCCATCTTTCTTCGATCTCTTCAACCTTCTTCTTCTTCTTCTTTGTTTTTTTTTTTAGTTTTCTTCCTTCTTTGTCTTATCATCTCTTCATCCTCTCCTCTTTTTTCACTCTCTCTTCTTCTATTACTTCTTCTGCTCTCTCTCTCTCTCTATTTCCCTCTCTCTATTTGATGCATTTCTCCTATTTTGTTCTTCAAATTTTCTTCATTTTCTATGGTTTTTTCTCCTCTTTTCTTCATGTTTCCATTTTTTTATTCCTTTTCAAAATATCTTTCTTTCTTTTATGTATTTGAGATTCTCAATGAATACGTTACTTCTTTCTTTCTTTCTTTTCTTAATATGCATGATACATATCTTTTTTCTTTCTTTGTTTCCTTTCCTCCTTTTATACAAAATATCTTCTTTCTTAATATTTCCGTTTTATCTTCTTTTATCTTCGTCCTTTCTTTCTTTCTTTCTTTCTTTCTTTCTTTCTTTCTTTCTTTCTTTCTAAATATTTCCTTAATTTTCTAAAATAAATATACGCCCTCGCGGTTGAATATGATCATGATACCCCTCTTTGCAGGAGACATTTTATTATTAACTTTTCTCGTGTACGGAGGCCAGTAGACGAAAGAAATACTTTTAAAATAAAAGGAACGTCTAACCAAATACGTTCGAAGTAAGAAAAATAACTTGTCTTATAGAGTCATTTGTAATAGCAACTCTCTCAAAAATTGATGGTATTTCATTTCAAATATCGAAGGTTGCAATAAATGACAATTTTATTTTATTTTCCTTCCCAAAAAGCACAAGGCTGGTCTGATTCTCCTGCTGTATATATCGAGATACTTGACAAAATTCAAAGAAGAGTCTGTCATGTTACCGGTCCTGACTTGGTTTCTCGACTTCAGTCACTTTCTCACAGACATGATCTTTTTTTACACGTAGCAACTGTTCTGATGAGATTTTTCCCTAGTGCCTCGACTAGGCGAATTTAGGCATGCAGTTAGATTGGCAACTAGGTTATACAGTTTTACTGTTGAAGTCGCTAGATGTAACCGTCACTTCTATTATAACACTTTTTTTCTCGCACTTCTCACCCGTGGAACTTCCTTCTGATGTCTTGCTTTTCTAACACCTACAATCTTTGACTCCATGTAATTCCCCGCGTCTTAGTGGCATTATTGCCTTGCTTGAGGGGAAATGGTAATAAATAAATATTTGTCACGGAACGAATATACAACGGCGGGTTATCCTCCTCCTCCTCTTCCTCCTCCTCTTCCTTCTCAACTTTCTCGACTTTCTCCTTTCATTCCTGACTGACTTCCTTATTTTTATTGTCATATATTTTTTTCTTTTTTCCTTTTTATTTGCCGATTGTTTTCCTTCTTCATCTGTCTCTTCCAATTTTTTTTTTTTTTTTTTTTTTGCCCGCACTCAAATATGCGAGGCTTGTTTTCTCCCGTCTCAGTCGCCATCAGATAACGTCACACACTCACAAACCAACTCTTACACATCACAAATCCATGTCCGAGACGCGGAGAGACTTATTTCTTTGATATGTTTGCGCTCGATCCTACATACGTGATGATCGGGAAAATATCGACCTCGCTCTGACGTAAACATGTCGGTAATTCATGCCAGTCAGCTTCTTCGTTAACGAAAAATGGCTGACTGCAAAATTAGACACAAGTACGCATGCCCTGACTGCTGAACGTGTTCTAATTCTTTCTTACACACACATACAAACATCGAAGTTATATTTTTACAGCAACTTTTCATTTAATTTTTTTTATTGCAGACCGCAGACAATGTTTGTTTTAAAACAAGTTTTCAGCCATTTTCTCGTTTAGGTAGAAATGTCGACACGTATATATCCTATTGCTTTCAACAGTCAATATTGATATTCTGCAACCGTTATCTACCGTAGCTTAAATGGCATACTAGCTGTCACGGTAGACAGTCTTCTCAATCCCAAGATAAAAAGAATGCTAATTTGAATCTTGACTAGAGTTAATTCTTTGAGTGCTTCAGATTGACGTTCGAGGTAGTTGCGATGAAAAGCAACTAAAATTCAGAATTTAAAAATACTACAAGACAGAATGCATGGTTGTTAGCAAAAGGATGAGCCTAAAATGCAAATTACAAATCGGAGATACCAAAATCAAATCAAGTATAAAAAAAAAATACATATGTTAGAGGATGGGAAATGTACAAATGAAAAGCCAATGACGCGTTGGGATGGCCAAAGATGCATTCCAAAAGCTAAGCAGAGTATTAAGAGATAGAAAAAAAAAAGTATTGAATTGTCACGTGATATCTCTCATTCAACATGGCACGGAATGTTGGACGCTCTTCTCAAATTCGAGAAAGAGACTAGAAACAAGAGCAATGTGACTCTACAGTAGAATACTGAGGATAGCATGGACCAAACATGTGAGCAACGACGAGGTTTTAGAGAAAATTGAAACAAAAATGAAAGTTATGCTTAATATCAGAAAGAGACGACATTTGAACTTTCTGGACACATAATGAGGAAGAAGGGCTTGGAAAATCTGATACTCATGAGACAGATAGAGAAAAAGAGTAACAGAGAAAAACTCCATAACCTAATTGATGAGTTTAAATATATGGATAGGTGAACAGGGTTTAGGAGAAATAACGAAAAGACACAATTTATTAAGGGATATAAGGGACAGGAAAGTGTGGAAAGCCATGATCGCCTACGTTCTGAAGGGACACGGCACATGAAGACAAACCAGACTATTTGGATGGAACATAAGCTACCGTATTTGGTACAGAATTTCATCGTTCAAATTTATAGGGAAATTCAGGCAAATACGACATAACTGTGAAAAATCATGATAAAAACACCTGATTTCTCATAGATGTTGCAGAGCCGGCGGACAAAAAAAAAATCTTTCAAAATGCTTGAGTAACTGATTTAGACCCCGAGATAGTGTAGCATATCCCCCCCCTCGTTCTGTGGAGGTCTTGGTAGACGGGGTGGATTCCATAACAAAGCTGCATTCTTTTCTTTCGACCTCTCCCGGCGAAATGTTTTTGGGTTAGGAGATGAAAGAGAACTTCAAGAAAAGTGATTTTAAACTTATCTATTTTATCAAACACGTCGAGGTATAAATTTTAACTAGCCAGTAGAGTCGCTCTATCACTACCCCTGGGGAGCAAGTTCCTCGAGACACGAAATAACCACGTCTACTGTGTATAACGTGCAAAACTTAAATCCCTGAAATCACTTTCTATCTCTCTAACATTCCCACGCTAGTTTTAATCAATCAAAAACGACTTCCTCTGTTTTGTCTACCATCTGACCTTAAAAGTCATCCTCAGAAGGTCTGAGCCAAAATACACTGCCACTAAAAAATAATAGTCTGAAAGTAATATTTAACATTCCTTACCAAAACATAAAAAATCATTTATGTATTTTATTTCAACTACATTATATTTAAAAGAATCAGTAGATTGTCGCATCTCAAGCCAAAAACATTCCCCGTTGTTCTTTGTGCGTGTGTCTGGAGGGTGGGGATATAAAAAAGAGTAAACAAATATGTGGATCAAATTCCTGGTAGCCCTAAAATATGTGAATCGTAAAGCAATCATACTCGTGGGTACTTATCACATCATGAAGATCTTCAAAAACCTACAAGTATTAAAAAAATACAAGAATTTTGAAGTGGAAATCTCAAAAAAGTGGTATACGAGGACAACAATAATTCCAGTTGGAGTTGGAATTCATATTGGTGGAAAACGTCAACCCAAGAAGAAGCAATCAGTAACTCCTCTAGAGGTTGACATTAACCATGCTGATTGAAAACGAAAACGGTTCTCTAAGACGATCAAATGAGAGCAGTTTTATTTTGGAGGCGTTAAAATTAGCAAGCTATTTCTTGTCCCAGTTAACAGATTATTATTATTATTATTATTATTAATAATAATAATAATAATAATAATAACAATAATAATAATAATAATAATAATAATAGTGACAAATATCCAGAAACGATTGATCATCTTGTGTCAGGTTGCACGACATTGGCACCCACTGAATATAAAACCCGGCATGACAGAGTGGGCCAATAGCTGTACTGGAAAATCTGCAACTTCTACGAGAAGGAAACTAAAAGAAAATGGTATGAACACCACACAAACCCGGTTACGGAGAGAGGACCTGTTACAATTCTATGGGACTGACAGAACAATCAAAGCCAACCGCCCAGACATTGTTATTAGAGACCACAAACAAAAACGGTGCCTCCTTATTTATATGGCAGTCCCTGCTGACTGCAATGTATCATTGAAGATATTCAAAAAGTTGTCAAAATACAAGGACCTTGAAATAATGTGGCATATGGGAACATCAAAAATCCCTGTTGTAGTTGGAGCCCTAGGAGTGGTTGGAAAAGATTGCAGTAGACTAATTGAAGGGATTCCTGGAAGTCCATGTCTCAAGGAGATACAAAAAATTGTTCTCACAAGTGCAGCCCACATTAGTAGGCTTTAGAAGTGCTTTATCTATGTATTTTTTTTTTTTTTTTTTGTTAGTGGAAAGTGTCATGATGCCATCTCTAACCTTAGGTCCCTGGGCGGGACCCGGAAAGAAATGTGTAAACGCCAGAAATCAAAGAAAATAAAAATAATGATAATAATAATTCATAACAGGTGTTGGGTTTCCAGTTGTATGATGTAATTGTGGTATCAACCAGTGCAAGGGAGACTACTCTTACTGGATAGAAATAACCGGCTTCAAACTGCATGAATAACATTTGCTAAATCTCATTATGTTAGGCTTTGAAGCTTTGCTTTATCCGCCAATTTGTCCACACCTGCCACCAACTGATTACTATTTTATCAAACTAAGGAAGATAGCAAACTTTTCAGAAGGGTTTTTTTTTTATAGTGATTTGATTCCATTAATTCTAAGGTAAATGCGTGTTAAAGTATGTACAGTCTGGGATCGTTTGCATTTAAATTGTATTTACTTGTAAATAAATTTACTGATCATTTGTATTAATATTTAATGTCGGACATTATTTTCCGGAAAGCTCAATATAAAATGGCGGTAACTTACTCGGCGTCAACCATGATTCTATGCTAAAATTCTTAAGCCTGTTCAATGAAAGTTACATCTTCTTAGTTCATTCAAAATGTAGATGTGAGTTTGTTTCGTTTCGTTTGTATTTTTGATTTTTTTTTAGTTTTTTTCGATTTCTAACTTTTTATAAAAAAAATTATTCTTAGCTCCTGCTAACATACAGTTACTGAATCGAACATCAAAAGACTTTCGACATTACAAGAAATGCGCGAAGAACTAAACAAGGTAAAATAAGAAAGAGATTTTTATTTTTTGTTCTATATTGATTTCTTCGTAAAGCTGATATTTCAGTTAGTGATATAAATAGTTTATTATTTATATCTCTGTGATTATACAAACTTTGACTGTGGAAACAGGGTCATGCAAAAACATTCAAATTAGGACCTACAGATTCTATGGCGAGTCATTTTTTTTTTTTTTACTTTAAATTGGAAAGCATTGCTCGCACTGATGTTCTCATCTTTGTTGCCATATTCACAACGTTTCGACCGTTGTACGCTCCGGCCTTTTTCAGGTGATTGGAATTTCGAACTAAACCCTTTATTTATTATCCACCGGGGTAGATTGTTCTAGTTCCACATGCTACACCTCTTCCGGATGTCTCAGTTATCTTCCTTTAACTCAACTCTCTAATTTTTTATTCACCATTATTGAACCTACAACCGGGCGTATAACGGCCTAAACGTCGTGAATATTACAACACAGATGAGGACAGCAGTTCGAACAATGTAAATAATATAGTTAAATTCCTGATTACGGTTACATTGAATATGAGAGTCTTCCTTGGACAACCAGAATTTAGCAGCATTTAAAATACGTGACAATTTAGAAATATCTATGTACAGCATACGATTTTTCGTCTTGTGACAAACTGTGTCTAATGTAGTTCATATAACCACATATAAAAATATGAAGTCACTTCGAGAAGACAAGAATAAAAGAACGTAAAACGTATACGAACGCGTAGAAACAGACAATTTCAATTTTAAATACCACTAGAAGAAATAAATACGCTCGCCGAGGCGAAATAGCAAATTGTCAATCTAAAATTTTGCAATCACTCACTGGCATACTCCTGTACGTACCTATCCATGTAAGTATATGCATGCATACATTCAAACAT